ATACACTTATAGGACCTACACATAAGCTTTTGAGATCCCAGTTGCTACTCACCAAAGTAGGGTATTGAACAATGTTTCTGCATACTATGTTATGTGCAGAAACTGTTGAATGGGAACCTAAACTGCTATGTAAACTTTCATCAAAAAAACACAAGCAAATATTTAAAAAAAAAAAACACTGAGACTGAGTCCAGTTTTAGTCTCTTTTCCCTTTATTAGTTGATAGTAATGCAGTTAACAAAGTTGCCCAGTAATGAGGTATTATAAGATCTTTGCTCTTGTCAATCTCTCTTCACTTCATTAATGACCAGGTTTGCTTCCATCTCTTTAATATTGTCCCTCCCCCACTAATTCTGCCCTAGTTCAGTCACATATTTCTTATCTAGACTGTTGTAATAGTCTCCTAACTGGCCTTTGTCTGTATTCTAGCCTCCTAACAGTTTTTCTCTATCAAACACAAATCTTAAATTACTGTTCTCCTTAAATACATCTTTTATTAACTTGGTAATTTAATGTTCCTTATCGAAGTTCTTCATGTCTCCCCATCTAGCCTCTTCTCTTTTAAAAAATGTTTAGTTTGGTATTAGATGCATATAGTAAAATGCTTTAGATGCCCTAATCTTAACTATACAACTTGATGAATTTTAGCATACACACATACAAACACCCCTGTGTAACCATTACCCAGATCAAGATACAGAACATTTCCACCACCTCAGAAAGCTCCTTCAGGCTCCTTTCTAATAAATTGTATTCTGTTTTCTATTATCATAGATTAATTTTGCCTGTTATCATACATTAGTTTTGAATTTCTTATAAATGAAGTCGTGCAGTGATTATATATATCTGTGAGATTCATCCTTGTGTGTGGCAGTAGTTCATACATTTTTATTGCTGTGTTGTGTTTGAGGAGCTCTGGTGGTATAGTACCTAGGGCATTTGACTGCTAACCAGAAGGCTGACAGTTCAAACCCACCAGCCACTCCTCAGAAGGAAAACTGGGCAATCTACTTCCATACCATCTCAGAAACCCAAGGAGGGGTCAGTATGAGTCAGAAACGACTTGATGGCAGTGAGTTTGTTTTGTGGTTTGGTGTTATATTTGAATATAGCACAGTTTATTTATCCATCCATTCACCTGAGAACGGACATATAAGTTGTTTCAAAAAAAAAACCAAACTCACTGCCATTGAGTCTATTCCAATTCATAGCGATCCCACTGGTTTCCAAGGTGGTAAATTTTTATGGAAGTAGATTGCCCAGTCTTCCTTCCA